ACCGCGGCTGTGGCCCAACCTGGGCACGCAGCACCTGTTACCCTCGGATAACCAACCCTTCTAGATATTACCCGTCTGCACCATGACAAGTCTATGTTCATAATTGGCTCTCAAGCTAAAAAAAATTGTAAAGTACCTTCGAAAGTGTCCAAGACAGATGGGATTATATTCAGTATAGTTTTAAAGATAAATGTGTGAGTTTTGTGGCAAATGTTGTTTTCTCAAAGTTCTTTTGGGTGCTGACAACACATTTTGTCACTGGAACAACATTATACGTTGAGTTACTACACAAGCCTACACAAAGGTCATTTTCTGCCTCTTGTAGGCCATTCCTCCTCGATGCTGAATAGCGATACCTCACTCTACCCCTGCTTACCTGGATTTCAGGACAGTTATGCTCTGGCGCCTGCTCCGTTGGATGAAGTGTGGTTGGCCTAGGTGACTCCCTAAGTGAGTCCCCAGTGCCTGGGCTCGGGGTAGGCACGCGACCCAGTTTCCGTCAGTGCGCTGTGAGGGCGCTTCCTACCTGGATGAAACAGAAGCCTCCAGAAAGAAAGTCTCTCTCTCCACGTCTCCTCCTTTGACATGCTGTCACGAGGACACGGTGCCTGGTGTGATGGTGCTTACTACTGATGGGGAGTGCACCTGGCTGAATTGCTGAATGAACTGCCTACCTCCAGGCTCCACCCCTTTAAGCCACCAATAGCCAGTGCTTTAAGGCACTGTGAATCGCTTTGTCATTACTACGTGCAGTTCCACGCATTGGAACTGAAACAAATACTTAGCATTCTCCTAGGTGGAAATTATTCCAAGCTCCAGGGGAAAAAAAAGGATCTAGAACATTTCATTCAGTCAACACACTTTCGATGTGTACTAATGCACCAGACACGCTGCAAAGGGCCGCAGGTCACAGACACGACTGGGAGACCTGCCTTTGCCTCCAGACAAACATGAGACTGACTCCAAAGTATACATGGAAATGCGAGGCACCCAGAATAGCCAAAGCAATCTTGAAAAAGGACAAAGTTGGCAAGACCCTTTTTTTTCTGTCTGAAAACTTACTACAGAGCTATAGTAATTAAGACTGGGATACTACCTCCTTCTTAGCATAGGGAAAGACATATAGATCATGGACTTATAAGTTCAGAAATGAACCCATACACCTATGGTCAATTGATTTGCTACAAAGGTGCCAAGACAAGGCAAAGAGGAAAAGAATAGTCTTTGCAACAAATAGTGCTGTGACCATTGGATTTTCACATGGAAAAGAATGGAGTTGGACCCTGCCCTCATTCTAGATACAGAAATTAATTCAAAATGGATCAGACCTCAATGTAAGAGCTAATACTAGAAAACACTTAGAAGAAAATGCAGGTGTAAATCTTTGTGACCTTGGATTAGGTGATGGTTTCTTAGATTTGACAGCACAAGCAACCAAAGGAGAAATAAATGGGAGACCAGGTAATTTGTTATAGGTCTGGGAGGGGCCCTCTGATCGTCCATTTCTAATTCCCAGGGAACACCATGCTGCTGACTGTGGACACACTTTGAACTCTAGGAGTAGGGAGATGAAGAACCACTTAGCTGTATTTATCCCCCTTTGAAAGCCAGAGTAAAATAGTTTTTAAATTGTTATTATTGAGTTATAATTCACATACCATGAATTTCACACTTTTAAAGTGTACCAGTCAATGGTTTTATTTTATTCACAGAGTTATGCAGCCATTACTATAATCAATTTTAGAACATTTTCGTCACGCAAAAAAAAAGACCCATACCTACTACCAGTGACTCCCTCTTCCGCACAACCTTCCCTCCAGCCCCTGACACTAGCTGAGCCCAATCTCCCCTTAGAACTGTGATATGTTTGAGTGACTGTGCCAGGGACATCCTGGACCCTTTCAGTCCGGAGAGTCACACCCTTCACCTTTGGGGAGTATCCTTCCACTACTTCTTTGGTCGTTTCTTCCTTCCTTTCTTTGTTATATGCCTGTGTCTCCCGTTGATGTGGGACCTCGAGGATTAACTCTCTAAGCCTCTAATATTTTAAATCCTTCTTTAATTCTATATTTTGAAGTATTTCATCGTTTGCCTTCAGCCTTCTATTGAGTTTTTAGTTTTGGAATACATGGGAGGTGTGGCGTTTGTATGTGCCTCCTTTGCTCTTGTCTGGCTGGTGGGCATCGGGGCGGGTGGGTCAGGGTGAAGGGGCAGGCTCCGCTTACACCTGTTTTTAATTGTCAGCCCCAGCTCGGCTGCCTCCACGGCTCTTGGTGTTTCGCAGCCTCTCCTGGGGCTGCGGGGCAGACCGGGTCTTGTTTGGGCTGAAGCCCTGGGCCGCCGCCTCTCCCCGCAGCTGGAGCCTGAGACTCCTGTGCCCGGATTCCTCCGGGCTCTGCCCGTCAACCCACAGCCCTGGAGCCATCTTCTGCCCACTGACGCACCGCCCTAGTTTGCTTTGTTATTGTCCCAACCAACGTAAACCGTTTTTTTCTTCGCTGTCATTTTAACAAAGTCTCCAGAAGGAAAGGAGTTAAATTTGTGTGTTTTCTGTTAGTTTCATTGATGGGAGTTTCTTTTTCTCTGGGTGTGGAGAGAGGGACCTTGAATGTTATCTTTTGATTTTTATAAACCTACCTGTCTACTGTCACACTAAACATTACTTCGTATTTCTTGTCTTCTCAGAACTTGTAAATAATGATCACTTCTAAGCATCGCCTGGGAAATGTTTTGTTTTCTTTGTGTTCTCTGCCATATGCTAGTAATTTTCAGCAAGGTTGCATTTATGTGAATTCGTATTGGGAAAAATATGAATAAAGAACACTAATAAAACCTCACATGAGCAAATTCTGAAACACTTCAAATCTCCCCAATTAAGAAAAAACATCTGCTTTTGTTAATTAATTAGTGTTTTGGTCAAGAATCATTTCACGGCTGGCTGGACGAATGAATGATAAAAACTGCACTTACACTACGGCCGCATGGTGGCGCCACTTCAGCTGGTAAGCAGACGCCTGCGGTTTTTTCTTAGGATTGCGGGAACCGCAGTGTTTGTAAGCGTTGAAACTCTGACCTGCGATTTCAGTGTAAAAAGGTGTTTATATCTCAAGGCAATTCCACCCGAGGATTATGCGTTGGTACTCATGTGAGGACCGAAACTACGCTTCTGGATGAATAAACTGGGAACGGACGTTAGATGGGATAGAAAACCATGAAGGGGGCCGGGGAGCCCACCGCGATGTGCCCCCGAGTTATTTAGGGGAAGGCTCTCGGCTCCCAATGAGCGGTAACGTCGGGAAACTGGAAAACAGCGCTCAGGCAAACGCTCGGCGCTAGGGCTGCGGGGACCGGCCCTCGGAAACTACTCCCTTTACTTGTGTGCTTGCTCCTAAGGGGAAATTTGACATACACTATGTGAGTGTTGAGTCACACGAGGACTTCAGAAAAAAACATGATAAAATGTGATCACCTGTCACAATTCTACTCTTCAAGAAGGAGTTTCTACTTTTTAAAGGGTTTTTAAATATATGATGCCTTCTTTAGGTCACCCTGGGTCTGTGGAGAAGGTGGGGTGTGGGACCATGTTACACCAGATGAAACCGAGGTGCAAAGCCTCTGGGCCGTGACAAAGTCACGCCCAGAACAGAGATGAATTGGGACAGAAAGTCTAGATTCCCTCATTCAAAACGCACCGGTAGGTCCTGTGCTATCAGAATATTTTAGTTGTTGCAAAACTCTATCTTCTTCAGAAAACTTCTTCCCAACCCAATCTCAGATTTTATTTTTATAAAGATCTTATTTATTTATGTATTCTAGCTACACGAGGAGGGAGAGAGAAAGAGAGGAAGAGAAACATCAGCAGTTTGCGTCTTGCATGCACCCTGACCAGGGACGGAACCTGCAACCCAGGCATGTGCCCTGACCAGGAATTGAACCGGTTACCCCTTGCCTTGCAGCACGGCACCTGGGAAGGGCTCAGATTTTAAGTATGTGAAAAAAATGAGTTATAGTCCATTGAATTCAATGCTCTGAATAGGAAGTTTGAAGATTAAATATTTCTAGTGAAAATTAGATTGCCTTTAGAGTATGTTTTTGAAAACTTACTATTCACGTGAGGTGAAATTTCTACAACAGAAAAGGAAGTATGTGAAGAGATAATCTTCCTTCTTCCCTGTCCCCCCGTCTTCACCCCTTCCTCGCAGCAGCCACAGTCACCAGTTTCTTGTGGGAGTTTCCAGAGTCATTGATTTATGTATTATAATATAGTATGATTTCTAGAGCATAGGATTTACCTACTATTGAAATGTATAACATATAATATACATAATGCAGTACACACTCATAAATTCAAACCCTCCTTCTTTTTACACAAATGTAGCACATTATACACGCTGTTCCCTACCTTAATTTCTTTGTCACTCAACAATGTCTCTTGGAGAGTTTTCAGTGTTGATACATAAAGAACTCCACATCTTTTCTTACAATGGCAGGTTTTCCATCGTGCGGCTGCCCATGGAAACCACTGAATACTGCTGGCCTCTTAGGCAGCGCTGCCATTTAGAATCAGCCTAACAGTAACTGCTCATCCTCCCTGCTCAAGGGAGCGTGTGGACGTTTTCCGTAAGGGGCAACCTGATTTTCCGAGGTTGGCAGAAGCTGACGAGGACCTGTCCCTATCGACCAGAAGCGCTTCTCACTTTAGAGCCTTCTTTTATTTTTTTTTTAAGGGCTGCTTTGTTTTGGAAAGTGGCTGGTCCTAGCCAAAATTCGGAACTGCCCCAAGTAAATGAAACCGCAGTGGAAGGCAGTTGAAACTGGCTTCAGGTCCCACATAAACTCAGAGCGAGAGAAAACCGGAGCCAGCAGGCTCCCCCCCGTACCTGCAGGCTGTCTGCCCCCTGTAGTCCGTCCTCCCTCCGGGCTGCAGAGCCTTCTGGAAAGCTGCCTCCCGCCCGGGGTCAGATTGCTCCCACGCGGCTGCCTCCCAGGCCAGCGCTCCCAACCCTAAGCCAGTGCACATTTATAGAACGCTTCCATGTGATCCTGGGGGAAGCCAGCGGCGTGCGGGCAGAGGGCAGTGCTGAAGAGCTGTCGTGTCAGGAACAGAGAGCCTTCCCCCTGCCTGCGCCCCGTGCTCAGAGGACACCGGGTAAGTCAGTCTCCAATCAATGGCTTTTTTCCCCTTGAGCAGCGTGTGGCTTTAAACTGGTTTGGCTACTAAGATTGGAGGGATAAATGCATTTGTATCTATCTGTCTTTCTCTTTTGTGTGTGTATTAAGGAAAATCAAAGGTGTATCTGTGCTTCTTAATGTCCCCCCTCCCCACCTTTTGATTGTCTTCCAAATCACATAAACTGTCTTTTTTTCTTTCCAATAAGTTACTTTGGAGGGGGGGGACGTGGCCCCACAGATCTAGACCTCAGTCTCTGCATCTGTAAAATAAGAATTGAGCAGCTTGTCTGGACACTGCCACGGTTCTGTCAGTTGCAAATAAGGTGTTCAAGGACTTGGGATTCCATGGAAGGGTGCTTTAAGAGAGCCCCTAACGCCCTAATACACCAAGACTGTGTGGGAAATAGTTCTTTTCCAGCCCTCCGCCGTGTTGACTCGGACAGGTTTGCCCAGTGTTTGTCCAGACTCGCACGAGTACCTCTCCAGACCTGGTCTGCTGCTGCTGCGGCTGCCGGTTGGGGCTGCCGAGGGAGCTCAGCAAAAACTGTGTGTTTCTGGGTTTGACTTGGTGTCGGTGATAAGTGAGTCACTGGGCCACCATGAAGTGGGGCCGAACTCTGAGCTCCCGAGAGAATCCTGTGGTCCAGTTAAACACAGTGGGGTGTGCGTGCGTGCGTGTGTGTGTGTGCGTGTGTGTCCTGTTTCTCGGCACGCTCCATGAAACGGAAATGCACAGACTGCAGTTCTTTATCCCACGTGCGGCCCTCGCTAGCTAGCGTGTAACGTCTGCACATGTGTGTGCACAGGGGCCAAAACTCCACCCGGTTTTAGCTGCTGCTTCCACAGGGGCCAGCGCCCTTCCTGCAAATACCTGTTGGCTCTTCGGGGTCCTCCTGCTCTCGGGTCCAGCTGATAGCCACCCTGTTCCTCCCCTCCGCTTCCTCCTGCAGGGACACCGATACCAGGTGGGTCTTATGGCTGTTGGCGGCTGAGTTCCGGGAGAACCTTCTCAGATGCACATTTATTTTGCTGTAAATGTGCATAGGTTTTTCTTTCCTTTTAATCTAGTTGCTCCATCTGTTTATTTGGGGGGATTTGGGAGGATGTAAGAAGTCCACGGTCATCCCCTTCCCAGAATCCCACGTGTCGGTTTTCAATCGCAACCAGGGAGACCAGCTTGCTCCTGCAGCAGCTCTGATTGGGGTAGTGATCGGGGTCCGGCCCAGAAGCGAAGGGAACGGAGCAGAAGGACACAATGAAAGAGACACTGGGAAGGGAGAATCCAGAGAGCTTGGCGAGCGCATGGTGGAGAGACAGGAGGAGTGAAACAGAGAGAAAAATACGTGACAACCCTTCATTCCTTCCGCTCATCTCAGCAGACTCTCAAGGGGTCCCGCGTGCCAGACCCCGGGAGGGAGGTCATAGTTGTACGGCACGTTCACGTCCCCCGGGCCCTCATGGACCGTCTGGGCTAGGGCGAGGCGGGTACGCAGCAAGCAGTCCCCACGGGGTGCAGAATCACCACAAGGGTCCCAGGGGATGAAAGAACAGCTCCTCTCAAAGGAAATGGGAAAGTCACGAGAAGGACTGGCTTGAGGGGGAGAGAGAGAGCACATTCCATTCCAAGAAGCTGAGTGGCCGTGCGTCATCTAAGCAGAGATACGCATCAGAGAGTCAAAACTGACGGCTGGGGGTGGGAGTCCGGGTTCGCATGTGGACCTGGGGCCTCCTGCCTGGACTCAACAGAGGAAGTTCCGGGAACCGATGACATCTTCCGAGGAGAAGACCCGGCTGGAAGGCCAGATGCTGCGTCTCTTTAAATGGCTTGAGGAGGAGGGTGGGAACAGCTGGAGAAGGGAAAAGAGAACAGGATGTTGCGGCGCCTCGTTAAATGGACGGAGGTTTGAGGAAAGTGGGGGCGACAGTGTCAGACGCCGAAGGCAGATGAGGGCTGAGGACGGGCCAGAGTCTGGGGCGACGTCTGAGGGCGTTTTCTATCAGGACACGTTTGGTTGTAATGAGAAAGAGAAGCCCACTCAAAAGGGGGCAATTGGTTGAGAAAACAGCTCTGGGCTATAGCAACCCTTCATCCCTGCTTCTCTGCTGTTTTATTCTGGTGTGAGCTGGGCTGGTCCCCTCTGCTGGGTCCCGCTCTGGTCCTCCTGCTCTGGTCCTCCCCCCCGGTCCTCCCCCCCCCACCCGGTCCTCCCACAGACTCGGGGTTCCTCCGGCACTGGTCCGGCCCTCTTTCCCCATCGCCTCATGACTGGCAGCCGCCAATGGACTTCTAGGGCCTCTATCAAATATCAAGAGAGAGGACCAGATTGGCGGAGCTGAAGCCAGCATCCACCCCTGGTCCAATTGGCAGGGTTGAGGAGGTGGGTTGGCGTGGTGAGCCAACCGGCTCAGTGCAAGGATGGTGGGAGTGGGGGGAGGATAAAGAAAGGGCCTTTTTCAGAGTAAAGGACAAAGGCAAGTGCCCAAAAGTTACTTGTTCCAGTGTGTGATTTCACTAGAAAAGGTAATAGCCCTCCACCGACCGAGGAATCGACACAGGAAGACCGCCCCGTGTTGGCTTGTCTGCACCCTTCGAGAGTCCCCGGACAACTCACGACGCCTCTCCTAGGGTTCTCTATCCAGCTGTGTTCAGGGCAGGGCGTTTGGATGTGTTTTTATCATCCGAGCCTGCTGGGGCAAGTTTGTGCCCGTTTCACTCTTGGGAAGCACCGCAGACGGCGGGAGCGACGGCAGATAGCTGCCCCCTTGCCAAGGTTTCATAAAATGTTGTTCACGGGGGCGTTGAAAAGCGACATGGGGGAGAGAGTCACTGTGACGAGGGAGCGCTCTGAGTTTGTGACCTAAAAAGGGGAAATTCTGCTCCACGCTCCAGTCAGGCAACAGCCTCAGCAGAGAGCCCCGTGTCAGAATTGGTGCCAAAGAATTAGAAAGGGATTAAACCCAGCAACACAGGCGAATGCCGTGCAAGCAAAGGGAGCTAGCTCGCTTCAAGCTGTCAGGCTGCCTACGTCCGCAGGAAGCTCAGGAATGGCAGACAAATAGTTGTGTCTCAGTATTCTGGGGCTCCGAAGAAGTATCCAGATTCTACCAAAGAGTGACCCTCCTCAGGTCGTAGCTGCCTGCAGTGCTTATCAACTCCTGAGCTGTGACACCATGGTCGTGACAGACGCTTTCTTTCTGGCTGTGCTTGTTTCGTGTGCAAGGGCCGTGAAGGGCATGGGTGTGGGGGGAGCCACAGTGATCATTTCTAAGTGAGGCCAAGGTTTTCTTTTCGAAGGGGCGTCATTCCGTAGGCGACCCTGTGAGATTAAAGAATGTGGCTCTGCAGTTTCTTTTCGGCCATGCAAAGTCCCCCTGCTGGGAGCGTGCTGCTGCCGAAACTGCCCGCGCGGTTCAAGTTCGGATCTGACAAAGTTATTCTGCGTCTCATGTTTCATAGCAAACAGATGAGACAACCAACCCCGGAGTCAGTCACAAGATCATCCGCTCGTGTGTTCCAGGTCTTTGAAGAGCCCTTGGCGACACTATTTGCTTTCCCTGGTAGAGGTTTCGCTCTTGGCCTTTGTCGGGCATGCACCCCACTCCGCCAGCCCCGGGCCTGCTCCCCTGCCCAGGACGGTTGATACTCTTTGCAAATGCCTCCTCCTCGTCTAGCGTGAAGAAAAGGATTCAGGCTGACCTGTCGGTCGACAGGTGTGGAGGGAAGTCATCCAACTATGGATCTCAACTTCGGAGAAGCAAACTAGATGGGCAGGTCCTCGTAGCAGGGAACTCAGGAAGCTGTCCCCTGAGAGGTGTATTCACACCCGGTGAGAGAAGTCCCCAGACCCACCTGCTGGGAGCCAGGAAGTAGTGGCCGGACACACCGCACCAGGGACTAAACCAACACGGATGGGAGAGAAGGGCTGAACTAGGACTTGGTAGGCAACCCTCACACTTAGAGGTCTTCTTGGGGCACTGGAGCCCACACCTGAAGTTCAGCAGGGAAATTCGGTTTGGAAAATGCAAATTGAAAGTGGCTTCAATTACTGGCAGATCGCCTGATGCATGCTTAGGAAGGAAGGGGCGGCCTAATTCCCCAGCTCGCCATTGATGGGCAGAGATGGGCTCAGCCAGGACTGGCTCGGGACCTGGAGTGGACTCCAGTCACAAGCGGAGGGGGAAGGATTGCTTTTCCTCCCCGCTACCCTCCCTCCTTTTCTTCCTTAATGTTTTATTATGGGCTTTTCAAGCATTCACAAATGTAGAGAGAATATTGCAAGAATCCTCACACACTCACTACGGGTTTCAACAATTTATGGCCAATCTTATTTCATGTATTATTCCATCGATGCCTGCCCCTCCCCCAATGTCCGTACTGTTCTAAAGCACATCATTCCGCCATTCAGTCACTAACATGGAAGTATGTATCCCTAAAACATGAGGACTCTTTTTTGCACGTGTATAACCATAATATTGTGATCATACCTAGAAAATCACAGTAAGTCCCTAATATTAAAAATTCTGTTAGTGTTCAAACCTACCTCTGATTGCTCTTTTTTTGTTGTTGTTTATTTCCATCACGATCCAAACAAGAACCACAGGTTGCTTTGGATTGATACAGCTTACCTTTGAAGGCCCTTTTCCGTGCCCCTCCCCCCAGTTTCCGCCTCTCTCCTATGGTCTCCGTTACATATGTGTCCTCCAGAAACTTCCTGTGTCTTCCACCATTGTATCTGTCTTTTCCTGCAAGTTCTATTTGTCATGGTTTTGAGAGTTATTTTTAAGTCCTTGTGTGCTGACTCAATTTCTGGGTTATAGGTGTGTCTGCTTGTATTGATTGTTCTCCCTCTTGATATAGGTCCTGTTTCCCTGCTTCTTTACATGCGGGAAAATTGTCTGTTATGGTGTGTTGGGTGTGGTAGTGATACATCGGAGATACTGGGCTCTGTTCTCGTCCTCTGAACACTGTTGCATTTT